TTTTTTTGGAGACAGGGTCTTCCTGTAGCTCCAGCTGGCCTGGAACTCACTATGTAGACCTAGTTGGCCTTGAACTCAGATTGGATGACTGGATCTGCCTGCTCCGCCTCTGAGTGCTGACGTTAAAGGTGTGTGCCACCACAACAAGCCTACTGAACCTCTTTTATGAACAAGGCACTCAGCTGGACACCCCACATATCAATCTCTAATACTTATGCTGTATTTGTGTCTGTAGAAGTGTGAATCTCAGTGCACAAATTCTGACGTACAAGTGTCTTCATTTTCTATAGTCCATTCAATCCATGACTCCAAATGCCTATTTTCAAGCACCTCTGAATTCCTTCTCTCTACCCAACTCTCAGCTATAGTTCTGGACTAGACACAGCACTCAGGTCTGAGTTGAGATGACTTCACCCAGTTCTCCATCATTAGCTCATACGGGTGGTCAGTGAGTGTCCATTCTAACATGAACTTGACCAATTGGCAATGTGATGGTTAGTTTTAAAAGTCAACTTCACACAATTTAGAATTACCTGGGAAGAGAGTTTCAGTTGAAGAATATTCAATCAGGTTGACCTTGGCCTTATTTGTTAATTGACGTAGGGAGACCCAGTCCATTGTGGGTGGCAGCATTCTCTGGACAGGGGATCCTGAGCTCTATAGGAAAGAGAGCAAGCTGCAAATAGCAAGCAGGCACCAAGGATCCATGCATTTTCTCTGCTCTTGACTGTGGATGTGATGAGACTAGCTACTTGAGTTTGTGCCTTGACTTCCCCTGAGTGATGGACTGTAACTTGAAACTGTATGTCAAATAAATCCTTTCCTCACCTAAGTTGCTTTTGGTCTAGGTGTTTTACCACAGCAACAGAAATGAAGCTAAGACAGGCATGGAAGGCTCAGCACGACTCCAACACCAAGCCAGAAATGTCTTTTGAACATCTGCTGGCACATGGGTCATTTTCTTTCTAGATTTTATCTTTTTCACAGGGTTTTGACAAAGCAAGGAACCATCCCCTCTGTTCCCTACACCAGGGACAAATCTTCCCTTCTCCCATGCCTTCATGCCCCTTTAAAACAATTTAGCTCAGCCCACATCCTATGATTCAAGTATGTAGTACCTTCAGTAATAGGGTTTTACCATCAAATTCTGAAGAGTGACCAAAAACAAAGGCAACAGCCTGAAATATTTGGGGGTCTATTGCCAATTGATGACTGCTGGGGGGAGGGCGAGTCGATTTTCTTCAGAGATGTGGACCCTGCGAGGTAGATGGTCCTACACCCATGTACATACAGTTTTCACTAAGTGGACTCAATGAAATTTGAAAAGGCAAATGAAGTTGAGGAGGAGTAGGGAGATAGGGAAGAAAATGGAGAGAATGAAAGGGGTTGAATTTAATCAAAATGCATTATATACACATGTGAGACACACACACACACACACACACACACACAATATTTTAGCCCTTTGCTGGTCTGTGTTGGTTAGAAGTCACCTGCCTGGGATCTCATGTTTTAGGAAGACAAAAGTTTTGTGAACTGTTTTTGAATTTTCTCTCTTTTACACGGGATAAAGAGAAAAGAGGATAAGCTGGAGGGGGGTGGGAGTGGATATCTTAAAATACTATCTCAGGCACATGCTCTCCCCATCTTATAGATGAGATGATAAATGCCATTAATGTTAATTTACATTTTGCATAGCTAGCTGATAGCAGAGCTATGATCCCAGGTCCTAGAAGCCTCATGCTCACATTCTATGGTCCTCTTGCCTCCCAGAAGCCTCCCTGGGCTGCTTCAAAGAAAAACAACAGAGCTTGAGTCTTAAAATGATCACAGGAAGGTGGCATCTGGCAATGAGATGAATAGCAAAAGCTTGGGCAGAAATCCAGGGAGAAGCCCTTGTTCAGGAATCACATAACTCACTGGATAGTCCCCATGTTCCAGGAAGGAGGCACAGCCACAGAGCACATAGCTAGGCTTTGGGTTGGGGTCAAGAACATCTATATCTGCTGATGGCTTGAGAGATGTGTGTGTGTGTGTGTGTGTGTGTGTGTGTGTGTGTGTGTATACATGTCTATGAAAACTAGGGGTTGACATTAGATGTCTTCCTCAATCACTTTCCACCTTGTTTTTTGAGACTGACTCTACCCTGGTACCTAGGGCTTACCAATTAGGCTAGACTGGCTAGCCAGTAAGCCCCAGGGAGCCTCTTGTCTCCATCTCTCCAGCACTGGAATTGCAGGAGCATGCCCAGGCATGGCTTTCTTTTAATGTGGGTACTGTGGATCAGATTTAAGTCCACATGCTTGTACAGCAAGCACTTTACCCACTGTGGTGTCTCTGCAATCATCTAAGTCAGTCTTTGGAAGACAACTGCTACATCACCTAACTGCCTGCTCACCATTTCCACCATCCACTAGGATCTCTAAGAGCCAACTCAGACTCTACAAGGCTAGATCTGAATTCCCAATCTCCCCCACCAGGCCTACTCCCCTCACAGCTTCTCCTGTCTCAGCTGACTGTAACCAAAACCTTGAAGTCATTCTTTCTCCACTTCCCACATCCCAGCAGTTAAAAATTCTACTGGTTCCACTTCCAGAATTTATTCTGCCCCCACTGAACCCCACCGGTGGCACCAGCCACCACGGAAGCTCCCTGGGCAAGCTGCAATGACTTCAAACATCTCTCTGTCACCCTTGCTCATGTGCAAATAACTTTATCTTCTAAAAACACAACACAAATCATGTTACTCCTTTGCTCAAATGTCTCCCCATGTCTCTTATGTACAAGCCACAGACTGATGATGGGGGCCCCTGCTCACTGTTGTCCTTTCTGAACAGAGAACACCAGACATGCTCCAACCTCAGGACCCTAATGGTTCAAAGTTCTTTTCCCCCCAACACCTTCACAGGATTATCTTTCTTCTCTCAATCCTCCATTCTCAGTTCAACTTCCAAATAAGATTCACACTGACCACTCTATTTAAAGTCACTATCTTCTTCATTACCCATGGTATTATTTATTTATTTATTTATTGAAACAGGATCTCATCTAGTATAGACTAGTCTTGAACTCACTATGTCAACAAGGATGACCTTGAACTTTTGATCCTTCTGCCTCTACCTCCCTAGAACTGAGATTATAAGCATATGCCACCACACCTAGTGCATTGGGATTGAACCCTGGGCTTCATGCATCTACATAAGCGCTTTACTGACTTAGCCAAGTCCCCAGCTCTATGGCTCCTATTGCAATCTGCCTCCATGTATCTCTACTGTGTTGGTTGCCTATCTTATAACTCATCTCGCCCCCACTGGTACAAAGTCCCACAAGAACTAGAATCCTCATCTGCTTTATTCGCTTGTATATCTCAAAAGCCAAGAACAGTGCCTGACGCACAGTAGCATTCAGGACACAGCATATATTATTTCAGTATGTATATATGAAAAAAGGAATTTTACAAGAATTGTGCACTGTAACACTTCTCTACCTGTTTAGCTGAGTGGCCTTACTTCTCAGTTCTCTACTCTTCTGAGTGTTAATTAACCTGGATAGGGAAAGAACATTTATCCTGAGATATCTCTCAATGGGGCCCTCAGCAAAACGATCTTTGCTTCTCACCCAGCTCCTCCTTACCCTAAATTTACCTGTTTTTTGCAAATCCCTCCCTTTCAGTTGCAGAAAAGTTGCCCCTCCACATTTAGATCACAAGGATCAAACATTTTGCTGAATTCAACAGAAAACAAAGGATTGGGGTCCTCAGTATAGCAGGACCCTTTTCTTTCTCCTTGGGCTCAGCCTACAATTTGAAGACCATGTCCATAACACTACTACCACACCCCTTTGAGGTGCTGTAGAGGGAAATAGGCAAATGGGAGGCCACCTACCCTTGATCTTTGACAGAGAACACAACACATTAATTTTAAACTGATTGATTCAGAACTATGAGCTTCAAGAAGGTAAGATCTGACCCTGGAACTGGAATTTCCTACAGATGAGAGCTGCCATGTGCCACGTGGTTACTGGGAACAAAATTTAAGTTCTCTAAAAGAGCAGCAAGTGCTCTTCACCACCGAGCCATCTGTCCAGACCCCAGAATCCCATATTCTTGTACATTTAACATTTCATTCAGAAATGACATTTTATTTTTCAAGTTGACAATTTCTTCTCTCTCTCTCTCTCTCTCTCTCT